GAAATATACTGGCCAGGTATGCGATTGCTTTATAAAAAAGAGAGCCATTTTGAAATATGAGTGTTTTTACCCTCTAGAAGATAATTTACATAAGTCACATACGCGGTTTCGCATTATCTTGATACGCGGTTTTGCATTTTGTTGATACGCGGTTTTGTACTTTAAACGACGTTATCCTTTTTTAATTATGCACTTGTTTTTATTTGTTGTTGGTCCGAGCCAGGCACTCATATATACATATATATGTATGTATGGATGTACCTAAAACCAAATTATTATAAAAAGGTCCTGCAGCGAAGAATATGGTCACCGCAAATATAAGCATACGGCCTTGTATATCAGCAAATAAAATGAGTTATTATTTGTTATTATTGAAATATTCAAATTGAATTTCTTTTATTTATTAGCTCTGCATCAAAAGGCACTTAACACTAAAATGCCAAGCGAATTGGAATTGTGAGAAAACTTTTGGTTAAAATTTCGATTTGATTCCATATCCATATTGGAAAAGGCAGAACAGACTTCGCCTTTTTACCTCGATTTTATTAGCTTGAGGTGTAACTATGTAATAATGATGCGTCTAAGAGATGCAGCGATTTCCATTCTCAAGTGACGTAGTGTAGCGTAGTTCTTAGTTTTTTAAACAATAATTCTATTTATTACCAATGATGTCGATATTATCAGCATACGCAAGCATTTGTACGCTCGTGTCTGAAACCTCGTTTGGTATCAAACGGCTGAGAAAGATCCTTCCCAATTCTGACGGAACTGATGGTATTGCTCAACATTATTTTACACAGCCGTATTAGTTTTTCGGATATACCAAATTCGGATATCGCAGCGTATAGGCAACTCCTTTTCGTGCTGTCGAAAGAGGCTTTCGTGCTGTTTGAAAGAGGCAAATAAATTGTGAGTGTTTATGCTCTTCCCGCGAGTCTTTCGAAGATTTGGCGTATGGTGAATACCTTGTGTATGATAAATTTGCCAGGTCTACAGCCACACTGATAAGTCCACATAAGTACGCTCGATAAGACCTTGGGGCCTATGCTTAGAAGGTTGATTCCGCGGTAGATAGCGCGTGCGGCGGGTCCTCCTTTTTTGTGGATTGGGCAAGAGCACACTTAAACTGCAGTGGAAATTTTGTGCATTGACCGTGTAAACAGACCAAAGTAGTATCGGAAAGTTCGATTTTCGGAAATAAAAACTGACTTCTTCAAAAGAACTTGCAACTTATAACTACAGCTGCTGTTGAAAATAGTAGTAGAAACAATCATCAAGCAGTGATTATCGCCTTTTCTATTTAAAGAAGTCTTTTATTACTGCAACTGCAAGATTCCGTTAGTTTAATACCATGTTCGAGCCGACATCGAAAACAGATTGAAAACGCGTTTTTTTGATTGTGGATTCAAAGCTGTTCGCACATCCTTTGTTTACATTTTTGCAAAAAAAAAAAAGATTCTTTTTAACCATTTAAGAACCCTTTTTTCTTTAATTTGACCAGTCAATTAACCATAATCCGAAGTGGCATATTATGCATAATAAAATATGACTTCCACTTCGATAATTACATCGCATAATCTAGTGCAGACGCACGCCGATTGGAATGATTTGAACGTGAGTTTTGAAGCAGATTTTAGCCACGAAAATATATTTTTGATTTCCTACGATTTCATTTATATTTTATTAAATAGTTTTTGCAATTCACTGGTAATTTGGTTAGTTTGGTTTGGTTCGAATCATCACGTGCAAAGCTCTATTAAAATTTACACAATAAAAGTTCAAAAACAGGTAATAAATTAATTTTTCTGAAAATTTTTATGGCTCTCTCATAAAAAATTATTTTAAGTTTTCTTTGGCAATAGGACGAGGCAAACATTGCTCTGATGAAGAGCGAAAACTTTTTTAAAACGCTTATTGGCTGTGATGGTCAGCGTTGTCGAAAGGTTTCGCTGAAAAATCGTCAATTTAACCCAAAAAAAATGCAATTTCGGGTAAAAAACGCAAATTTATTTATTTATTGTACTTTTTTAACAATAACAAACAAAATTACATAAATTGCTAATAATAAATATGACCACACATTACAAAACCAAAGGGAACTCGAATTGCATATGGGTATTTCCATACGTCGCATACGTGACAGTCGTACGTTTCAATGTGATACAAAAAAGGAATACCATTTGTTTTCTTTAACTTTTTTGGCCATTGTATAGCACATAATTAGCTCTATATTTAATCGAAAAATGAAAACAATCGAACTGCTTGGTCCTGAAATATAAGCATTTAAAGAGAGTGTCGTTACGTGACGAAAAATGGAAGTTGATTTTTTCTTTTCTTACAAAATCGCAAAACTCTGCGAATTGTGGATGGCTATTTTCATGAAACTTATTTTAATATGATTTGGAGCAATTCTAGTTGTTTTTAGAGTTTTTTTAATTAATGCAACTTGTTTCAATTTTCTTTTACAACCCCAAGTGTGATACGTCACGTGACGTAGCCTCACGTGACATAAATTTCCGTAGTTATATTTTTGTTAATATTGCTTTTAAATGGATTTTTAACGCAAATAAAACATGTATTTTATGTAGAATATACTTTATATTTTGACTTTAGCGCCAATTCAGGGTGAATTTGTTGGAAATCTATGACTTATTATGTTTCAACTACATACGCCAAATTCGAACCAAATCGGACCATAAATACGGTTTTTCGAAATATCTCAACCTTGGCGCCACCTAGGAAGACCATTTTACGCAAACATGATTCTACTTACATAGCCAGTATATATTTTAAAAAGCAGACAAATCGGCCCGTAAATACGTTAGATATAAGACTTTTATTTTTTTTTGTCGTGGTGGACCTTCCGATGGAAACACCCATATGGGTTAATGAAAGTCGATTATTAATTGTTAAAAAAATTTTTAATTACAACTTAAAACACAACTGCTTTTAAATTGTTGAGCTCCACTGGTTTGAAGTTTTTGTTTTAGGATTCTCTAAAGTGTAACAGGAGCATTTTTTAACTGATAAATAATGTTGACTGAACAAATTCCCTCGGCAATTTTTCTGTCTCTTTGAAATGAGTGTCAGTAGTACAAATTAACGATTGGTTACAATTCTGGAACAAATTTAATATGTAAAAGAGGAAAGCGACATACATTTCAAAAAGGCCCTAATTATCTCGATTTCAGTAGTAACCTCTTTTTAAATAACTACATTTCATTAATCTGATGTCAGAAGTACACTCGGAGGTTTGAAATTGCGACGACCGCGGATCGGGCGTTGCGTAAAGCAACATTTCCTGGAACTTTATACGGGATCTGGATGACAGTATTTCTAAAATAAAATTGATAATTCGAATGAAATGGTAACTCTTTTGACTATGCATTTTTGAAGAAAATGTTCCTTTTTGACTATTGTGATAAAAAAATTAGCAAAACAAAGAAAAATTTAACATTTTAACAGGCAGGAAAAAATTAACCAATTTTGCTTATATTTAAGCAAAACGGCAACGCTGCACGGCGCAAACTTTTTATTTTAATGAAAAATTCTGTTTCGTCCAAATTCTTGCAATCGTATCGTCGTTTAAAGTATAAAACCGCGTACCGTCATTCCGCAAAACCGCGTAACTGACATTTGCTGCCAAAAATTGGATTTGCTCACACAAGCTCTTGGCTCAATCCTTATCCATTCGTCCTGAAATATACTAGCCAGAAATGCGATTGCTTTATAAAAAAAGAGAACCATTTTGAAATATGAGTGTTTTTACTTTCTAGAAAAATATTTATGCAACCTCACATACTCAGATACGCGGTTTTGCATTATTTGATACGCTGTTTTGCATTTTGTTGATACGCGGTTTTGTACTTTAAACGACGATATGCGAAAGTCTTTGACAAATTATGAACATAAATATTTTCATACCCCTTTTGGATAGTTTTTAATTTTTCGCTAACAAAGGCATGTATACATACATTTTTCACACCTTCTACGCACTCCCATCGGAGTCTTCAATTTCACAGCAGTAAAAGGTGCAATTGTTACTTCTACTATTTGAGAAGATAATTGCGATACTTTGCTTAGCAGTCACCAACAATCGCGATAATCTCTGGCGCGTGTGCCCAATTCACAAACAAACCCTGCAAAAAATTGTGCGACTAATCTCTAAAGAGAGTATTCCGACATTACTCTCAATCGGGTACAATTGGGCATTAATTAGTCGCAACTAGTCTAATATGGGTACTAATGGAGATCAATTAGTCTCGACGCATCCCTTTTTGGGTATAATTGGAGATCAATTAGTCCCCAACTCATCCCTAACGGGTACTATTAACGATTTAATGATATGTACGCACTTAGTCAATGGAATTTCATGTGCGGCGTTGGCACGCAGAAAGAGTATTCGCCTAACAAAACTGAGCACCCCGGTTCGAATCTCAGCCGGCGCAAATTTTTATTTTTATTTTTTAAAAGTGACTAGTCGCTTTTTATACCCGTTCGGGTATAAAGGTGAACAATTAGTCTCTTCATAGGACATGCTCGAACAAAAGCGATCAGTTCATTCCATATAAAGAGATCAAAAGTGGTATTAGTCGCATGTTCCTTTGCGATTGCTCACGGAGTCATCCCGGATTAGTCCCATTTTTTGCAGGGAAACGTCCGGCAGACAACGCACACAACATCTACCAACACACACACACACACACATATATGTATATGTTTAGTCGCTATTCCATATGCGCATCAGTTATTGGCTTCTATTCGATCAGCGGATTAGGAAAACGACATGAAAGGCTATGCAGAAAGTGTGAATGTTATGGCAGGGGAATAACGAAATGTGCAATAGTTTCAAAGAAAGGATTAAATTGACCACTCGAATGCTAAACAACTACTTTCACCACCACAAATGTCCCCTCGTACTTTGAATGGGCATTCATTCATTCATTCATGACTGATTTGTTGCTCTTAAATAAGCAATGTGCAATAAAGTATTTAATTACCGGATATCGAATGGTCAGAAAGGCGCGTAGGCGGCGTATGCGCGGGCGTATGATGATGTGAAGACGAGTCCATGCCAGGTGTAGGCAGACCAGAATACAATGAGCTAAAATCCTCGGGTGTGCTGCTGCATTTGCGCTGATGATTAAGTGAACCTTTGTCAATGGAGTTAAGTGAGGAGCGGGTGTCTTGCATCGAGGAGGTCAGACCTAGCAGACGGTTTTCATGTGATGAAGAAATTCCCATTAAGCGATTATCTTGAAACGACATGAACTTTGTGTCCTGCGACGCAGCGGCATTATGCATATTGACCGCATGGTCATCCAATAAGCCTTGCTGCAAGCCCAACAATCCGCCAACCAAATTTGGACGCAGTTCGTCCATTGTGAGCTTACTTTGACCACAAGTTCCAGTCGTGAAGTTGAGTTGTCGGCTAAAAATAGCCGGGAATATATTGAACTGCTGGGAATCAGCGCTCGATTGCGGGCTTAGTCCCAGACTGGTTGGAACGATGTGAGGTAAGGAAGAAGCCGTTGAAACGGAGGCAGCCGCTGATGAAATAGAATGGACGTTATTTCCACCCGAAGCGGGACCGTTGCCTATGACTAGCGAGGATACGGAATTGGAGCCGATCGCGCTGCTGCCGCTGCCAGAAGTGGTGCTGCCGTTGCTTGTCGCACAGCCGACGGAAGTCGGCGTTATCAACTGGTGCTGGTTCTGTGTCTGCGAAGGCTGGTGTTGTTGCTGCTGCTGATGTGCCGCTTGTAGTTGGGAAGCAGTTGCCGCTGAGGCTGGCTGTTGCTGCCCTACAGGCGGTAGGCCGCTATGTGGCAAGCCGGCGGCGACGTGCGATTGGGCGGATGCGTGCGAAACGGCAGCGGTACCGGCGTGATGCGTATGTAAAATGGAATGATGCGGTGATATGTGGGCAGACGGATTGCTGTTGGGCAGATGAGGCTGATGTATGTGATGTACCTGATGGGAATTTGAATTGGTATTGCCGACGACGCCACCACCACCAGATAAAGGGCCGCCGGCACAACTATGTTGTTTGAAATCCAACTTGTGGCCGGTGTAGAAGCGCGTATCGATATACGTCTTGAAAAAAATCAATGATACTAGGCAGCTGAAAACGGACTAGGTTGGATTATTGGAACGGTTTGGTGCGTAACTGCCGGGTATCGATTTAATCCTTTTGGATCAAACTTTCAATACACTCGCGCGCGAAAAAGTTGGGCAATTATTCGTTACAACAACAACGAAAAAAAATAATCACTTCACATAGACCACTGTCTGCAGCGTTCGGTATTCGGCTCGATCCACGAATTTTGCGGCTAACGCAATTAATTAATTTCAATTTCAATTACAGTTATAAAGGCATTCGAATAGGTATTTAGTAAGTGGATACATGTATGCATGTACCCATACATATTTATATATGTATATACCTAAGCACATTTATATATGATTATATCCGCTTGCTGCTTTCTATTTTGTCCGTCAAATGACCGACGCGTTACCGACACTGGCGCCTCGATGTCTATGCCGAGTGAGCAACTGGCGAATAGTTGAAATAATCACAAACCCCGAACTATTTTACACACAAACACATTGAGCAACTGAGCCCGCTTTCTGGTCGGCGCACCGTCAGACTACAGTACACAGAAGGTCTAAGTTGGTATAAGTCGCCTAGTCTTTCTTCCCAATGTTCGTGCAGGAGCGAGACTGGGCTCGGTAAACTTTTCTAATCGCGTCAATTTAATGCCAAAATCTCTCAACACAAATACTTATGTATATCTTTGCATACATACATATGTAGAAGGTGCAAGGAAACCCTTCACACGCGCGCTCTACTAAATCTTCACTCTTCGACGGGCTACGGAGACCAGACCAATTTCTAATGTTTACAAATAATGAAAATTCGATTTCCTCTTCTTGAGAGGGGGTAATAACAATAATGTAATTTCGGATGCGTTTAACTCTATCGCAATCTGCTGCACCGTGCCGCACGCCAACTAGCGAATGTATGCAAATGTATCCTTCGGATTTTTTACTCTGCTGCGAAAACTGTTCTTGTTATGTGACTTGCTGAGCTGTCGCGCGGGTGGTACGACCTCAATGTCTCGATTCGGAGGTACGCGCTTATACGCGGGCGATCAAACTTAAAATGATAACGAAATTAAGGATCATGTGCTCGCTGCCCACTTCGACGGGCTCGCAGCACTTTCCGCGCTCGCTCTTGCCCTGTTGGTTGTCCGTTTGGGCGGTGGTGGGTGGCGGCGCTTCAATGCTGCTGCTGAGCTACAACCACATTCACTGTGTGCAGATTTCTGGTGGTGCGGAGCTGGCCTCTGCTGCTGGTAGCAACTGGCTAAGCGCGCACACAGTGGGCATGTGTTTATATGTAAGAGCACATGTTCTTTGCGGAGGGTGCTAGCAAGACCACGAATCGTTAGCCATCCTAGTAATAATGTGGAATATAATGAAGCATCAATGCCGTGCAACACAGGCAATCGTATGTGATATACATACTTATGTACATACTTACATACATATATATATATATATACATACATATGTGCCCACAGATATCCTTGCAGCAGCACTTAAACAAGGAGGGCAACATTTTTGCGCTACTGCTCTGTTAGCCTTGTCACTCTGAATCCTGTCGTTTGCACTCATCCCTTCGACTTGTTGTCGTCGCTTGTTGTTGTCGTCTACTCGCGACAGCTTCTCATTATGCAGCGCATCATAGCATTGTCTCTTTTTAACTGGTTTAATTTCGTTAGAGGTCGGTTTTTGCTTTTTTGTCGGTCGCTCAAATAGCACACAACAACAACAACAGCAACCACTCAATTTTGATTGTCGGGCCCTTCAACCCAATAAGGAATGGCTGGCTGCTCTGAGGTTGAGTCGCTGATAATGATGTGCGTCCACTCTTTTCTATGTATTTTTTGATATGGGTTCGTTATTGTTTTTGCATGAGCTTTCACTAAGTGTGTGCACAATCTGTTGCAAAAATGAAACAACATTTGCACTATTGGTTTTATGTATTGCAGTGCTTTAAGATCGCTAAAGCATTGGGCAGCACAGATGTCACAGTGGCGAGCAGACAAGCCTTCGAAATGGCAAAAAGGATAATCACTATGCGTCTGACACACTTCCCTTGAGTTTATGCAGAAAATAAACTTTTTAGTAGCGGGACACATGCACCAACAATCTTACATATGTGTGTATGTGTGTACAAACAGAGCGTGGTCTGGTGGTATCACAGAGGAAGCCCTGCTCCTTATTGCAAATGTGTCGCCGAACGGCGGTTTGCGCGCCAACATTGCAAATACAAATTTCTCAAAAGTTATTGGCTTTGGATACATACGCTTCTATTTACATACATACATATGTATGTACATTGTACGTACAAAAATGAACAATGTTTGACAATGGCTTTCAGCAGTAAAACGAAGACGATAACCATGCAAAACCGAACCCGTCTGCGGAAATATGTCGAGTGAAAGTTTAAATAATAATAAGAGCCGAAACTAATATTGGTAATGGAGTTTGGTAATAAAATGTTGCTTTTATTTTTGATTTTTGAACTAAAATTGGTAGAACTTTTTATTCTTATGGCCTTATTCATAAAAATAAAGTAGGTTTAAAGAGCTTTATAAAATGACGTTTTCATACATTTTTCAGTTTATAAACCTTTTTTAAAGCTACTTTATTTTTTATGAATAAGGCCATTAGTATGTAGAATTGTAGCGAGAAAAGCATCAACACTCACCATCTATTTGTCGACTACAAAGTCGCTTTCGACAGCATTAAAAGGAGTTACCTTTATATACGCCGCAATGTCTGAATTTGGCATGCCCTCGAAACTGATGCGGCTGAGTAAAATGACGTTGATCAATACCATCAGCTCCGTCAGAATTGGAAAAGACCTCTCCGAGACGTTTGCTACCAAACGGGGTTTCAGATAGGGCGACTCCCTTTCATGTTTTCTTTAATCTGATGTTGGAGAAGATAAAAAGAGCAGCAGAACCGAACCGCTCAGGAAAAATTTACTATAAGGGCGTGGAATTTCTTTCGTACGCCGATGACATCGACACCGTCGGTAACAAGAACTGCGATGCCGCCCACTAACACCACAGGGCAACAGCCTCAGCAGCAGCAAGTGGCGGCCCGGCAACACACGTCACTAACACCCCACGCCCCAATAAGTCTCCCTAGGCACACGAAGATTTTACAATTTACCTGTAGCGGACTTCAGAGCAAGATCGAGAAGATAGCAGTTTTCATGGGTCTGCACGCAATATTAATAGCTGCGGTCCAAGAGAGGAACATTCACGGCAATTCAACATTGTTGAATTGCGCCGGATACGACGTGCACCTTCGAGATCATGAGCGAGATAATGGTGGTGGCCTAGCGTTCATCACGCACCACACCGTGCAGTATCGTCTTATCGAAGCAGACATCGACCGCAGGGATACCATTCTAGAATGTCAGGGGATTTCTATCCGGTCAGGCGATGTAGAGCTTGAAATATTTGACGTGTATATACCCCCTGTCACCAGCTGCCCGGCAGGATAGCAGTCTGAAATAGGTGCGCTCCTCAGAGGTGAAAACCGGATCGTAGGGGACCACAATTGGCTGAGCAGATAGACGATTTAACATTCTGCACAATGAACGACGACGCACACACCAGGATTATGGGTAGCTGCTGCAGCTCGCCAGACCTAACAATAGTCAGTGCTGGTGGTTCATCAAACAACCTCTGGACCCGTCAGCTTATCGACAGGCCCTGAAGGGCATTCACAGAGAGACAATCTCGAGTTATATAGACTCCCGACCTGTGAATGCCGTTCTTGGCATACAACCACCAGACGTGGACGAGACAGAACTTCGTCTGCCTCGGGAGACTCGGACCACAATAGCCCAACTGCGCTCTGGTTACTGCTGCAGTTTGAACTCATACGTGATTAGATTAAATGAAGATGTTCCTAATGAATTCCCGGCAGGCGGAGAGTCGCCCCATGACTCACAGCATTTCTTCGTATGCCCTCTGAATCCCACCTCACTAACGCCCCTGTCCCTATGGACAGATCACGTCGAGGCTGCACGCTTGCTGGGGCTACCGCTGGTAGAGCTTGACGACAACGATTTAAAGACTAACCGATCTGGGTGGGGTTGTTGTAGCCGCTACAACACCAACAAAAGATCCGCGCGAAGTCTGTTCTGCCTTTTTCAAGTTGGATAATTTAGTAAATCGAATGGGTTTGCTTGTCAACGAGGACAAGACGAAGTATCTCCTGCCATCAAACAAACATTCAGAACATTCAAGCCTTGGCACCCACGACACTGTTGACAGTTATAATTTCGAGAAAGTAGATAATTTCGTTTACTTGGAAACCCGCATTAACATCGAATTTCCGCCGCCGCCTTAATTCATATCCCTTTTGTTTATTCAAAATTTACATTTTTTTAAAAAAGTCTACCTCATATTACATATAATTAACTGCATATAATATATGATTAATTCCAAAATTTATTAAAAAAATTCAGTGCAATGTAAAACAAAAATATGGGTACCAAATGATATATTTTTTTTGGGTTTACAAGTACGAATGTGAATTGAAAATGCCCCTTTAATCCATCTTATTTGATTAAGCTAATAAAGTTAGTGCTTAACATATAATTTTTTCAAAAATAAAAATTGTAAAATTTCAAGGATATTCCAGGATACAATTATAAAAGGGTATTTTCAATACCTACCCGTCCCTTACGCACCCAAAAATGTAATGTGTTTTAACTCTACAGATTCTTCTTTTTCATTTGACACCCATACTATTTTTTTAAGTATATTGCTCTGAAATGGTTACATCATTTTTTGAATTACTCATATCTTTCAAATTTCAAAGTTTTTTTTAAAGATCCTGACGTCAGAGAGAAAAATTAAGAACGCAATTTTGCTATATATGGCCCTTGGTTTGGCGAATATATTATTTTTTTGTGTGCAAAATTGCCTGTCGCAAGGTATTATATTTATATTGAGCTACACATTTAAAAAAAAATTTAAATATTAAATAAACAAAAGAAATATGGCCAAAACTGGTCAACTTAAAGCGTATC